ATTGAAATGTCTAGCAAAATAGCAGGTCATAAAACTGGAGTTGAAGATTTGCTTTCATTTTACAGATAAAGAAACCAAAGCCCACTCCTTTGGTCAGCGTCTTGAAGGAAGCAGAGACAGCGTTAAAATCACTATCGCTTGACTCTTGGCCAGGTCCTTCTCCAGATAAATGAGACACATTCCTCCAGTGGCAAACTGGGCCTGATTGACTGAGGGCCTAGAAGGGAGCCAGTCCTGAGCAAGCCCAGGCTGTCCCCAGCCCTCACCCCACTGAGGGGGCCCGGCCAGCACGGGCATCCCCTCCTGTTACACAAGGAGCCTCGAAAAGCCAGACGAGCCATTTTGGAGGCATCGTGGCAAGTCTCCGGCAGCAGTAAACCTCTGGGTGATTTCCGCAGCAGCGGGGCTGACTCCCTTAGCAATGGAGGCAGAAGTCTGCTGGTGTCTGACCTCTCCCACTTCTCCTGAGAGCCTCTGGGAGTCTCTGGGGCAGTTGTGACACCCTGTGGCCAGGTTGGCTCATCACAGCAGAGTATCCCTCAGTAAAACAAAGACTGCAGGAGACAGGTGCAGGGGAAGTGAGAGCTACTCTCCTGACTTTGTGCAGCAACCGGCCTTCTGGCTTCCGTTCACACTCACTATTCCTCCACCGCCCAGGCCCACTCCACTTCTGCCTCCATTAGATTTATGTGTAGCCTTTTTGGCCTCAGTGAATCCAGAATACCCCTGAGAACCAGAACCAGAGGTGAAGAGCATAGGAAATGACTCCGAATCAACACCAGATTTCCTCCAGAAGGTCCTATCTGCCTCTCCACGGCACCTGACCCAACGTATCGAGTGCACTGTATACTGTAGGTGCTCAACAAATGCTACTGAATGTTGACTGCGTCCCATGTCCCACAGCTTGATCGAGGGCCGACGGTTGTCATATGCTGTTGTGTTACATTTAATCAGTATAAGCCAAGCTCATACTTGTAAAATTCTGGCTGGACTTGTGCTTGATCTATAGTGAGTCTCCAACAGCAAGAACGAGGAGCCTTACCTGTCAGTGTCTTCCCAGAGAAGTTTAGAAGACAGGATTTCATGTCAGTGCGGATATAACAAAGTTCCTACCACCACAGCAAGAGGACGCTATGCGCAGATGTTTGGGCTTCCTGTGACCTGCCATGCTTCTGTGCAGCGGTGTTTTTCACTCTATCTCCTTCCCCCCAAGTATTCACTATCTCTTTTCCTTCTCTTCTGGAAAGGCCCCTAATTCCAGTTTTATCTTTTCATGCTTGCTTTTATCCTGTGAGAATTTTTTTTTTATTATGAAATAATTGAGCACTGTCGCACGAGGCTGAAATGAGATCAGATCTAACTAGGGCCTCTTCTAGGTAGAGCACACAACAGAGTGCAGCTTCAGGTGAACAGACAGCTACAGCTGTCAACAGAAGTAAACTCACTCAACAGGATTTGTAATTTTATGAAACTATTTATAAAAGCACCCTCATGTCACTTGTTCTGGAGGAAGTGACAGACTGAACGCTTCTTTTGGCGTACGTTGATTTCCAGAAGTGTTTTGGAATGTTACCATCTACTTCTATCAGATAATGAAAATATAAAAGAGAATAGAATAAACTAGAAAGAGAGCAAGAACAAGCACCAGGAGATGGTGATATTCCCATGGTTTGAGAACAGTTTGGAGAGTAGGCAAAGAGTATGTCAGCAGTGACAGACCAGAGTTGGAATAGAAGGGCCAAGTTCGGTGTCACCTAGACAACTCAGTCCACACTGCTGGCTACCTTTCCAGATTGTTGCCTGTGGTAGCCATCACCCCTTGACACAGTGCTCTGCTGGTCACTAGATCTTACCCAGCACCTATGACAGGTCCAATCTCAATCCTGGTTTTCCAAGCTCTACATGATCTACCTCCTGCCTCCTCCAAATCCTACCCCATATCCCAATGCTGTAGCCATCCGGGCTGTCCTGCTTTTTCTCCATCTGCCACAGGACCTTTGCACTTGTTGTTCTCTCTTCTAAGAATGTGCATCCCCAGCCTCTTGTATGGGATGACCTTTCACTTCATTCAGAACTTGCCTTAAATGTTACTTTTTCAAAGCTCACTCTTTCCCCTGCTTTTCCATCATGCTCCATCTCTGTCCTGTTGTATTTTTCTCTATTTCATTTATAGCTACCTGGAATTACATTACACATTTACTCTGTTATTATTTGTTATCTATCTTTCCATGAGGCCTGGACTCTTGTCTTTTTTAGTCAGTGTTTAGTTACATGGTAAGTGCGCAGTAGGTATTTATTGACTGAAAGGATTCGGCCTGCTTGGCTTTTGTCTGAATCCCTTCCTGCCCAAATTTCCAACTTTGTCTTGCAGATGAATTATTTTTTTTAATAATTTTTTTATTGTTATGTTAATCACCATACATTACATCATTAGTTTTTGATGTAGTGTTCCATGATTCATTGTTTGTGCATAACACCCAGTGCTCCACGCAGAACGTGCTCCCCTCAACACCCATCACCAGGCTAACCCATCCCCCCACCCCCCTCCCCTCTAGAACCCTCAGTCTGTTTTTCAGAGTCCATCATCTCTCATGGTTCGTCTCCCCCTCCGACTTACCCCCCTTCATTCTTCCCCTCCTTGCAGATGATTAAGAGGAAAACTTATTTACTGATTTTATATAGTAATACAGCACTATATCTGTGAAAATTAATTTTCCAGTCTGTAAAATAAGCTCATATCCATTTTCTTAAGTGGCATACCAAAGGAGTACAGATATTCCTCAAGTTACAATGGGGTTACATACCAATAAACCCATTGTAAGTTGAAAATATCTTAAGTTGAAAATGCATTTAATACACCTAACCTTGTCTACCTTAACATGCTTAGAGCACTGAAAATAGCCTATAGCTGGGCAAAATCATCTAACACAAGCCCTATTTTATAATAAAGTGTTGGATACCACATGTGATTTATTGAACGCTACTAAAAGTGAAAAACAGAATGGTTGCCTGCATATCAGCTGTACTCATCACACTCATGATGTCACTGCCCAGCATCAGGAGAGAGGATCTTACTGCATTATCGCTAGCCTAGAAGAAAATCAAACTTCAAAATTCTAAGTACAGTTTCTACTGAACGCATATCATTTCACACATCTCAGTGTCAGAACATCTTAAGTCAAACCATCATAAGTCAGGGACCCTCTCTAACTGGAATTTTGGAAAAGGGGATGATTATATACTCATCACTTACTATCTGCCCAGCATAAGGCCAAAGGCTTTCCAAATATTTTGTGATTTATTTCCCTCAACAACTGCTAATATTGGTTGGCAATAGTATTTCTATTTTATAGATGAAGAAACGGGCTGAGACAGAATAGTTTGACTAAGGTTACAATGGGTTGAATGTGTCCCCTAAAAAGATATGCCGAAGTCCTAACCCCCAGTACCTGTAAATGTAACCTTATTTGGAAATAAGACCTTTTCAGATGTAATTAAATTAAAGATCCCAAAATGATACTGTACTGAATTTGGGGTGGGCCCTAAGTCCAATGACCGGTGTCCTGATAAGAGGAGGAAAGGACACAAAGACACAAGAAGACAGCCATGTGAAGGTGAAGGTGGAGCCTGGACAGATGTGTCTGTAAGTCAAGGGTTGCTCACAACCCCCAGAAACGAGGAAAGACGCTTGGACCTATAGCCTCAAGAACTGCGAGAAAATACTTTTCTGTTGTTTTAAGCTACCCAATGTGCAGCCATTTGCAACCTACTTAGGTAATACAAAATCTTGACTGGTAAGTGGCACAGCAAGGACTTGAACTTGGATCTGTTGCATCCAAATCCTGCCTTCATCCCAACATCCCAGGCGACTCCTCTAAATTCTGCAGCAGGGAGTCCATGCTTGCTTGACATGTTATAACAATGCAGAAAGATTTAAAAGCAGAGCCCCGTAACCAAATGAAATCTGTAAGCATGGTTGTTACCTTTGGTCATATTATCATCTATATTCATGCCCAACATGCAAAAGAAGATCGCACACTAAGGAAACTCTCTGGTGATTCCAAACTGAAAGGGTTGCAAATGCCAGGAAAGAAAGAAGAGGCTCACTGAGGAACTCCGCAGCAAAAGTGAAAAAAAAAAAAAAAAAAGAGCAGAAAATAATAAAGAGAGATTTCACTGGAGGGAAAGAGCAGCGGCTCCCTTTGACGGGGAATATTCAAAGCACAGAGCAAACTTGAAACGGAGGCATGAAAAAAGGGATGCAGAAGGGGAGTCAGATTTAGACACCATGCAAGGCTAGGGAAAAAAAAAAAAAGAGGAGAGAGAACACTAAGATCATTTCCAAGTTCATATTCAGAAGGGGAAAACTCACTCACACAGCCGACAGGTTGCAAAGTCCCTTTTTACGAGGTTCTATTGAGAGGATGGGTTATTTCCAAGTGCCTCCAAACCCGAAGGTGGAAATGCACGAGAGCAAGGCAGGAACCCGAGGAAGGGGTTAAAGGAAAGCCAGGCATGTAGAAGATGGATTGATTTCTGGGGACAGATTAAAAGCACTCCATGTGTACATTTGACAAGGTGATAATCAAGGTCACTGGGGAAACCCCGGGAGCTGCCTGGGAGGAGCTGAGTGAGGCCAGCGTGGAGGCAAGTGGGGAAGAGACTGGAGCATCACATGGGTGCAAATGGGCGAGTGGGGGTGTTGGGAAGAAACCACAGAGGAGCGTTCACTAAGTCTCAGTGCAAACTTCCTGACAAGCTGAACTTTATTACATCTCCCTGTAACTCAAATTTCCAGTGACCTTTCACCGTGGCACGAGTGAAGTCATTTCCTCTGAGGAAAGGTGCTATATAAGTGTAAACATGTAAGTCTCCTCCGGACAGAGTGCTAGCAAATAAATACATCCCGGAATCCTCCTGCCTGGATCCTCAAGAGACAGGCTGGATGTGACCTCACGGGTCTTTCTTTTCATCTTCTATTTATGGGAATCGTACCTGACACCATCAATTTGGTGTGCCCTCTCCATCTGGGAAACTTACAAATAAGTGATAGGACGGGAGACCACACTGTTTTAATAAAAACACTCTATGAGGTCCGTTGTGACCCCAGCCTGTCTGGAAGAATCATTATGTGGCTAATACCGGGGAGTCTGGAAAGGCCTTGATCAGGAGAGCCTGGGTTCTGATGGAAGGAATGTGACTTTGCTCTCGACAGAACTCTCCAGAAGCAGACCCCTGTACAGACTGAGTTGGCCCCATCTACTCTGCGTGTGCACACCTATCTCGGGCCCTTTGTGTATGTGGCATCCACTGCCTGAAATGGCCTTCTTGGCTCTATTTATCAAAAGCCCAGTCATGTACTCTATAAGGCTTCATCTGGGTATTGCATCCCTGTTTCAGGGCTCGCGTGACTTCCTTCCACAGGCTACTGTACCCAGGATCTGGGAATCACAGGTCAGAAGGAGGAGAGCCAGGTTCTGCCCCTGTTCACCCCATTGCACGGCCCACCCCACAAGGCCACACTTAGCAGCAGAGTCTAATTGCCTATAGATAGAAAAGATACTCAGGGTGATTTTCTCCTGGTTCTGAATTGACTAAAAAGGTCACCCCAAAATGCGATTTTTCCCCCAAGGAACAGTGATATCAAAAGCTAATGAAATCTGAACTTTACCATTTTCCACCTAACTTTTCATTTCATTTTAAGATACTGAGAGAGAAAGAGAGAAGCATGGGGAAAGGGAAGAAGTGGAGGTCAGGCGTTAGATCTTAAGAGGCTCTTCTATCCGTAGGCAACCCCTGATATTAGGCCAAACACCAAGTACAATTGTGTCATTTATAAACTGAGGACATTGCAGACTTGGTGAAGAGACGCGTTAGGTCTGTTGGAAAGGATTGATTAAGGGAAGGTGTTGGGGGTGGGGAAAATGAGTGAAGGGGAGTGGAAGGCCCAGGCTCCCAGTTACAGAATGAATAAGACATGGGGATGAAAGGTACAGCACCCGGAAGGCAGTCGATCATACTATAATAGCTCTGTCTGGTGGCAGGTGGGAGCTCCACCCGTGGTGATCACAGCAGAGCGTACAGACGTCCCGAATCACCATGTTGTGCACCTGAAACTAATATAACACTGTGTGTCAACTATACTTCAATAACAAATTAATTAATTAATTAAAATTTTTGAAAAACTAAAAATAAGAAGTTTGTATTACCTACAATGTGCTTGACACCATAATTGGTGCTACCTCCTGGGTCTAGCATGGTGCTTTGCTCCTAGCAGGCACTCAATGTATATTAGTTTAGCTTGTGAATGAATCAATGAATGAATGAATAGAGTTGAACTAGAGCACTGCTTCTCCTGGCCACAGATCCCTGGGGGCCCTAATTACAGAAGGGTCCACAAAATTTTCTGGCACTGAAAGCCAGATTTTTTTAAATCTTCCAGAACCTAAATGGTCTCTAATGACATTTACTACCTACATTTGTTCTACATTCCAAGGGAAGGAGAGATTATAAAATAAGGGCAGGACTTGTAGCCCAAGGAAAGGGTTAATGTCAGAGGTCCAAGGAAATAAGGCAAGGCCAGATGCAGCGGGGTCCCTGGCATGCCGCAGGATCCATGAAGAGCAAAATAAGGGGTCTTAGAATAGACTCCTAACTCTTTACCATATAGATCTGCAATAGATCAAGATATGATCCACTCCCCACTGTCTGATGGAGCGAGGGATGGGGGTTCAAGGTCAAATATATACGCATGTCTTCTTCATACCACACCTCTGGTTTAGCGATTCTCAAACATGAGGTGTCTAAGAGCTAAGAGTTATCAGTAGTGCTCATATTATAGTATGAATGGTCATTTATACAACACTTACTAAAACCCAGGCTTTTGGAAAAGTTAGTCAAAATACAGATTCCCTGACTCTATCCCCACTAATTCAGTAGGTCTGAAGTTGGAACCCAGAAATCTCTATTTTTAATGAAAGCCCCAAGTGAGTCTGATGAGGGTGGTCCTAGCACCAAACACAGAGAAAGATGTTCTAGCTCCGCTTGCTTTATTACCTCAATAGATCTGTCTGTGTCATCATGCATTTAATGAGCCATATCAAGAGTGGGAAGGGTCTTTTAAATCATCCTAGCCTAATCCTAATGGTTTACAAATGAGAAAACCATGGTACAAGGAAGTATGCTGCTCTTAAACCAAAACTGCAGTTATTTAAAGGCAAGACTATGCCAACATTTTTTTTTCCTTTTGTTTATATTAAATTCTCTTCTCTGGCATCAAAATTAGCCACCTGCACCATTTAGAATTTAAGAGTAATTTGTGGTTCATACTTTGCCCCCTCATTGAATATCCCATCCAGACTTCTTTTTCCACAATATGTATGAGAAATTGTAGGCTTTGGTGGAAGCATACTGCAGTGGTAAGTCCCATTCCATTTTTTGCTTTGTTCCCTCTCTTTGAGCTTTATCTTCAGAATGGGGATAAAAAAGCCTACTAGGCAGAAATATTATGATTAAATAAAATGCTTAAAACTTCTGGCCCATAGGAAGTCCTAAATAAATATCAGTTCCACTAATACCATACAATCACTGATCCAATAGCAGTAATACATTTTTGTTTTTAAAACGGCAAATCAACACTTTGCTACCAAAGTTCTGTTGCCAAGTACTTGCACTTTAAGACAACAAGCTAAGTCTCTGTCTCTCTCTCCATATAAAGTTGAACCACATTCATTTGGGTTATCAACAATTTTCCGTCTATGAGAACAGCAATTTCGTACAGTTTCACCTAAAACAAAGTCTATGATCGATTTTGATGACCCCATATACACATTAATCACACCAAAATGTAACAGTTCTACTTGCAGCTCCAGTTGTCGGCCTTTAGGGTAAATTACAGGATATCAACACATGTACGATTCATTAGTAGATGTGTTTCTCATCCGCAACCCTCTTCGAGAAAATTTTATATTATTAATATAAAGCCTTTCTTAACTTAAGTCAGAGGCATCATTTCTCCTAGTGTTAAAGCCAGTTTGGACGGTTCTTTTGAATCTCTTGTGTCTAGTCCTTAAAGCAAAAGAAAACAGTGGCTCTCAGAGGTCACGGGGATATTGTTCTCAGCTATCGACCCTGAAATCCAAACAGCTGTCAGACCGCAGGAAACATCAATTTTGTCAAATGATCCTAGCCCAAATTCCCGTCAAAGGGTCAATAAATTGTGTAAAAACAGGACCCCTTATGGAATGCAATTAGAAATCACAGATCAAAGGTGAGGGCAGGCCAAAGGTAGCTTGCCAAGGGTAGAAAGCACAGAGATGATTCTCACATTTGGGCAGAGAGTTAGGGAAGCAATGCTTAAATGGGAAGATGATTCAAGTGTTTAGTAACAGTAAAGGATCACAACACAAATTCTTTCCTACCAGTGAGCAGTTGTTCCTGGAGACCAAGGAGGCAGAAGAGACAGCCCAAGGGGCAAAGATCCTTTTTCACAACACTTACTTTGAGCCGAAGATATGCTCCTAGCTCTTTAGATTTCTTTTTAATTCTTAAAACACTTTTAAGTAGAATTTGCAAAAGGATAGGGATGTGGGGTAGAGATGGGCAATGTAAATGCCTAAAATGGGACAAATAGACAGGTGAATAGTAAAAATTCATGAATCAACTGAATATTTTTCAGTTTTTCAGTTTCTCTTACAATCACCTCCAACCCAATCTGACGACCAGTTTTCCATCATCATCTACTGTGGGGTAGTGATTGATACTCCCATCGACTTAATCTCCCTAACCCCACCTCCTGAAACTCTTCTGCGGACCATCTTCCATGTCCCTGGGAGTATTTTCTTTTTCTTTCCTGTTGAAATATTTTCCTTTGCTGATATTTACCCCCTTTCCATGTATGTATCTCCCAGAAATGTTAATCCTTCTTCATCATTCATTTAACAAATATCTCTCCTTGGGTATCCACCTGCTCCCGGGACTTCAGTCTCTATGTTGATGACTGTTTCTTTGCTTTGATCTCTCAACATTAAGCTCCTATTTCTAACTCTGCGGTCTGAATCTTCTTACTGTGCCTGCCAGTTACTGTCTGGGCACCGGCTCCAGCTATATCCAGATGTCAACCAGAGTCCTGGTTGCCCTGTTAGATCCAGACAGGATTGTTTCAGAGGCCATGGAATGTTCGTTGTCTTTACCATTCTGGGTCAGCATCCTGTCCTCTCCACCTGGATGGTATGTGGTCATCTCATGCTCAACATATTACCAGTAGTGCTCTTGTCTTATCTTCTACCTCACACAATTTGTGTTGTCTATTTCGGTGAAAGGTACAGTAACCATCGAATCATGCTAAGTTGCCAACTTCGCAACATCTTACTTTCTTCTCTCATACCCCGTATCTCACTGGACACCCCCTGTGTCAAATCTACTCCTAAATGGCTCTCAAATGTGCTCCCAAATCTTGATTCCTACCACTCTGGTCTTATACAGCCCCTTGTCACATCTTTTTCTAAATTGGTTTTTAGTCAATAACTCCTGTTTTTCATCTCCCTGGCCCTCTGTTCTACCTTTAATGTGAGAGTTAGTCTCCCACATTCTTGGCAGAGGGAACTTTCTAGAAGGTAAACCTGCTGCTGTTACTCATATTTTTAGATTTTTTTCAATGGCTCCCCATGACTGCTTCACAAATCAGTCTTTTAATTAAGCTCTCCTGAAAGCCCCACTCTTGATGTCATAATTATTTTATCCACACTGCCATGCCATCAACTCTCACAGCTCCAATTTTCTCTTATCCCAGAACCACCTCACCCATTCTCTATGATCGACCTTCACAACCTGGTCAACTCCACATGCAGCTGGGCTGTCACCTCCAGAAAGAAGCCCCAGTAGGTATTTGCAGGCATAATCAACAATTCACTCACAAAGCACTTTCATCTTACTTTTAGAAGAAAATATGACATCTATTTCCCCACTCCATCCCTTCTATTAATTAAAGTTAAAAAGATATTTTTTGAGTGCCTACTTGGTGTTGGCATTCTTCCACGATGTGCTAGGGAGCTGCTGTGTGATGGAGCCTGCCCAGACCAGCTCACTGGGCTTGACTGTGCACGGTCTCTCTCAATGCGACACACAGTGATGCCACAGTGGTAGTTCGACACTGGCCATGATGGGAGTATTTACATCCCAGAAATCAGCCAACACAACAAATCAAGGCTCCTCTCCACTCCCCCACCACCCACCCTGTCCTGGGAACTGTTTTACCAGAATCCCATGAGAGTACCCACAGACAAAAATCTCCATCCTGGTGAAACAAATATTCTAGTGAAAGAAAGGCAGACAGTACACATGTCAAATAAAATGATTCTTCAGATGTCCAAAGGTGCTAAGTACTATGGAAAATAAAAAACAGCAAGGTAGAGGAATCCGGGATATTAGAAGCATCACCTATGTGCATAGTAATATTACTAATATTACCAATATTAACATATTAGCAAATAAGAAAGGAGCAGTGTTAAGGGCAACTGACAGTGAGGAGGAGAGAATTCATGCAGTCAAGGGTAGGGCTCCAGGGTCAGTAGACCATTTCAGCTACTGGGGGTAGAGCGTACCGTACGCTAACGCATAGAGCTCAATGCATGTATTACCCATTTTCATTTTTTCCTAGTGCCTGGCAGAGCATAGTAAGTTCTTAATTAAGGTGAAGACAGAATCTTCTGATGGGAGCCAGGTAACTAGTTCTGATGTGCACTTGCTTATGTCGTTCTTAAGTCACATTCTGATAGAGATCAACAACTCGGAAGGATCAGTGCTTCCCTTACCACATTTACAACGTGGCACATTAGCTCCCCTCAACCCCAGGAGATGGACGGAAATCCACACATCAATTAATAATTTGAATTGCCTTTAATAACACCTCCAGCATTAGATTATTTCACTCAGGGCCTCTCAAACTTTAATATGTATCAGAAACATCTGGGGACTTCCCTATGACACATATTTTGACATAGTATGTCTGCGGTGGGACCTAAGATTTGGCATGTTGATTCAGCACCCCACATAATGCAGAGGCTATTGATTTATGGACCCTACTTTGAGTAGCAGGATCCTAACCAAGGTTTGTTCACCTCTTTCAGTAAGAAGTTTACTCCTGAAAAATGTCACTCCTTCATTGGGTAGCTGTGTTCTCTTGAGAAGTTCTTACTTCCTTTCCTTTGAAGGCTGGCTCCTGGTACTATGATCCCCTATTTCCTTGTCCTAACTCTTGCAAACAAGAGGAGAATTCGAATCTCTCTTCCACGTGACAGCGTTTAAGTAACCAATAGTAAATCTACTCTGTCTGGGCTAAATGTCCCCCTTCTTCCTGCTCCTCATCCCAACAATGCAGCTCTGAGTCTTCTGAACAGGCAGGCACTGTCTTCACGCACACTCCAGCTGTCCAGATGCCAACCAGAGCCCCACTGCCCTGTTAGATTCATCTACCATTGCCTCCAAATCCAGAAGACACTGTTTTGCTGTCATGCTGTAGTTCTTGGAGGTTTCAATCTCCAGTCACCTCTGATTCTGATCCCTGCTTTTCCTGTGTCGTTGTACTTGGCTGCTCATATTAAGACTGTTCTTTGATCCTCCTGACAATAGCGTAAGCATGGTGTGCATCACGTTTCCTTGATTTACAGAGAGAGATTCACACGGTCCTTTGTGCGCTTTACCCCATCCCTCTCATTCTCTTCTCGCCTCTCTCCTGTTCACAGGGAGAAAAAACATGGTTCCCATCTGCTCTTTGTTTTTCTTTTCCATAAACACCGAGAACTGACTCTGTGTCAAATACTGCTCTAGGAAGAAACATGCACTGAATGCAACAAGCAAGTCCCTGCCCAGTGGAAGAGACCAAGAGGAAACAAATAGATACACACCATGTTGTCAATTACTATTGTGAGTTAGAAAGAAAAATAAAGCTAGTTGAGAGGGGGCGTGAGGGAGGGAGATGCTCTTTAAAATCAGAAGATCAGGGAAGACCTCCAGGAGAGGGACTTGAGCAAAGACTATTTCAGCTCCTTCTCTCACTCAGTTCTCAGGGTCCTGTTGGCATATTCAAAGACCCAAGCCAGGGATGTGGTGTCCTTCTGGGAAGAGGCATAATCTCTTCATCTCTCCCCATTCTACCACCGCCCCTCACCCCATGCCTCTTTCCAAGAGAGAAAGAACAGGACGAAGAGTTGACCCCTAACTGATGGTAACCATTCTCTCTTTCCCTCACCTGTAATAGGCAGGACAGCGACAGCCTGCTTTGGATTTTAAATTTGGGGTTTATTTGTTAAATTACTCTCAATAACAAGGCTCGAAACAGAATGCAGTACTCCAGGTGTGTTCTGACCGGGCAGAGGAGAGCACTAGCAGCCTGCCCCTTGTTTTAAATACCAGCCACTTAAGAATGCTGCACAAGATCACAGTAACTTTCTTGTCATCTTGTCATTCTATTGACTCACTCTCAGTTTACAGGAAACATTGGCCTCTGAGCCTTTGTCACATAGCTCCTGCTTTCCAGATCCCTTACAAATGGGCTTGCTCTCTTAATGAGAACCACTTCTCTGCCCTTTGTAGCCTGCCGAATACCAGGCTCTAAAAATAATAGAATGATAATAAAAATCCCACATAAACGTAAAATTGGCTTTCTGATTAGATTACAGGGTGGGGGTGGGGGGAAGCACAACTTGGCAGAAAATGCTGCAACAAATCAGCAAAGATTTCCACAACCCATCTACGTTCCACTGATAACCTTGTAGCATCGGAGATTAACTCTTTGGCCCCCCATATTGGTAAATATTCCTCTTTCTAACCCCCTTTGGATTTTTGGTTGGGTTTACATCCTACACCCTAGAAAAATTAATTGGCTTCCAAATCCATAAAAGCACTGAAGACATGTTTCATACCTTCTGTGTTGAAAAAGGCTCAGAAGGGAGTTAGGATTTTCTCCTGGTTTGGTATTAGAAATAAGAAATGGCTGGGGTATCTGCTAATTTAGGAGGGACCACATATTGCAAATATGTAAACATATAGAGGACAACCAATCTTTGGACAATAAAAAGAGAGTGAATATAAAGTGTCATGAGAAGTTCTTCTGACACACTGATTTTGGTTTTGTTGTGTCTTCTTTCTCCCACGCACTCCATGCCTGCCTGGATCATATCATTTATCAAATCCCAATAATGTTCACAGTGTTTCCAGGACCAAATTGTAAGCTACCAAGGGCAGATACCAGATTTTTGTAGTCTAGAGTAGTAGCTGTTCTCAAACAACAGTGTGGAGCATCGGGGGCAGGGGGGAGCTTCTTCTCACAGGACTTGCTGGGCCCCACCCCTGCATTGAGGATTCAGTAGTTAGAGAGTGTGCCTGAGAATCTGCATTCCAACAAGTTCCCAGGTGATGCTGAAGCTTTGGGGCCAGGGATCACACTTTGAAAACCACTGGTCTAGAGCACAGGACAGTTGTCTATTATAATGACCTCTGCAAACATTTAAAGAAAGGCAAAAAGCAAGAAAATGGAAAATGAGGAAGAAATAAAATGTGCTTAAAGAAGTAAGGTTAGGCCTGAGTTTGGAGCCCTCTTGGACTATCTCAAAAGACTGTGAAGTGGAGCTTTACATTCAAAGTCTAAATCAGAGATCCTTTATTTTTCCCCCACCTTGCAGATTTGCTGGAAATGGTTTAGGAACCAGATTTGTGTGTTTCCTATTTTAAACACCGACTGACAGCAGGAGGAAAAAGTCCAGGGTTCCACGTGAAGAGACAGAAGTTTAAAAGAACTCCATTATTTAGCACATCCAGGAAGATTTACTAGTTTATCTCTTTCTCTCTGGGGCAGAAAAGGCACATTTTCTGAGCTAGCACCATGGCATGTGCCTCATTCCCATCCAAGAAAATGTCTCTTCACAACTAAGGGCCAAGGTAGACATTTCAGCCCAGCTGCGACCTGTGAAACATTCCCATTTTTCTTCAAGCCTTCCATGTTGCTTCATCTGAAACTCTGGTGTAGTGCCACATGGACCAAAGAACCAGTGGGTTGACAATGTTGTCCTCCCCAGCGGTTGTACTGGGCTGGTTTGTACAGAGTGGTAACCCAATGGCAGGATGCTGGGGAAACCCAGAGACCTACACTTTTCACGCCCACACATCTCTTTATACTTCTCTCTCGGCCACAGAGATGCAGTGACTGTCTTTGGCTAAACAGGCTATGCTAAGGAAAGGAGATCATCTGCTTATTAAACCAGGGGTCTAACTGAGTTCCTAATAGAAATGGTTGTGCCCAAAGGGAAATTAAATTTTCTGTGTGCCACTGAAGGAGGGAGGCGGCACACGTGGTCTTTGTTGATTTATAGCTCTGTCATTGATTTGCTGTGTGAACTTGTGCAAGTGACATGTTCACCGATGCTTGGTCTCATCTATAAAATTGGTATAATCAAAGTTAAAATGGAAATCTGAGATAGACTCTGTGAAATGCAAACACTAGTATATTGTTGGCATAAGTAAGTAGTTGGGGGGAAAGTGGATGAGTCGTTTTGGTCTCCACTAGGTGCTCAGGTGGTTATTTTGTTTTGCTTTGCTGTGTTGTTGTTTTTTATTTCTACAATAGTAAGTCACTTAAATGTCCTCCTCTCTGCTGTCATTTGAGAGAATACCTTGTTCATGTGGCTATATGATGATTCTCACATGATCCTCATTTACTATGCCAAGTCACTTATTAGAATAAATGGAATTTTTAAATTTAATTTAATGGAATTTTTTAAACAAGAAGCTTTTCATGGGAATGAGCTTTGCATATCTGGGGGTGTTTGGCTGAATTCTGTGACCTGGGTGCACTGAGGCAGTATTAAGCCCAAGAGTAAATCAACATGAATCAACTCCTAGAGGTTCACATACCCTACCCCACACACATCCATACTCCTTTCCACAGCTACTTACATATGAATAAAATATGTGTCAGCCCAGGTACCAGACCTCTCTGGCCAAAGCAGTGTTTCTCAGGTGGTCATACTGATCTTCCACAGGGCTTCAGAAATCAATTATCATTTGATGGCTGACACCTGGGCCTCAACAACCCAGCAACCTCTGCTTCCTAGGATTTCTGTTCTGAGTCCCTCCTCCATCCTGCCGTCCCTACAGGCATGCCCCTTCCATCGGTGCCTGCTTTCTAGAGCCTCGGATCTAGTAATCCATGAGAGCAAGACCGGTTCTATGGATCTTTACCTGGGTTAAGATAGCAACTCCTTCACAAATGTATCTCTCTGAGTCAGGTGCATGGGGGTTAGATCCAGTGGCATGCAGAAGGGAGTGCGACATTGCATATTCTCAAGAGCCGACCAAGATGTTTGGGCATAAATATTTTTGACCATAAAAAAGTAATGTGCTTATGGGGCACCTGGGTGGTTCAGTTAAGCGTATGACTCTTCATTTTGGCTCAGGTCATGATCTCAGGGTTGTGAGACTGAGACCTGCACTGAGTGTGGAGCCTGCTTAAGAGTCTCTCTCTCCTTCTGCCCCTCTTCCACCACCTGCACACGTGTGTGCATGCACACACACTCTCTCTCTCTCTCAAAAGAAAAAAAAAGAGAAATTATGTGCTTACAAAATTAAACGCTGGGTGCTTCATGTGTCATTTTCCACACAGGCACCTTGTGTCTGTCAAAGCGCAATTTCCCATCAGCAAATCACCATCAGAGTGAACCCAGGCAAAGCAGAAGTCACCAACCCGAGGTCTTGTAGCAGTCGGCCAGATCTCATCCACAGATACACTTAAATAAGCTCACAGAGTTTTCAAGAAGATACGAATTCATTGCTAATATTTGGAATTTAGGAGATGCCACATTAAAATCAGATTATCAGCTTCCTCTGAAAAGTCAGATTTGACTTGGGCCCACATTCCAGCGTGTGAAAACTAACTGAGCTAAAGAGCCTCTGCCCTTTCTAATGGGCAGTACTTTCCTGCTCACCACCAGCACCCACTCGGGTACCTGTCAGGTCCCAGCTGTGAATCCTGCAGCTCAACCTCCTGTCAGCTCAACCTCCTGTCATCTATAGTAGACTCTCAAGGAAGGCAACTGAAGGTCCTCTTTGCTCTTCCACTACCTCCTTTATACGTCTCAAGATCCAAGCATTTTACTTCTCCATGAGAAGTTATGAAACTATATAGTTTGAGCTCCACATCTAGAGATAGAGTCTTGTGAATAGGGAAAAAGACAAGGCTATATTTGGGCAAACATTTTCCTTGTTCTTAAATGCTCCTGATTTAAAACTCTGAGATAGAGAATTGAATCAGTGGGAAAGGAAGCTGGCCCTCTTGCCTGCTTTGGTTCTAGCCCAAGCCTGTCTCTGGCCAAGGCGAAGAAAATCTTCCCCTCACATAGTGGAAATTATTGCAGTTTGGGATCAAAGACATGCAGTGATATTTCTGGTGTTTCTCACCAGTGAGGAAAGGGATAAAATTCTCCTGGATCCCAAATAATATACCCGCAAATTAACAGAAGTCTACCAACTTTGGTTTTAAAAGTACTGCATTAAAAATAAATTATGTCACTGTTGTGTCAATGGTGTTAAATTGTAAATACCAATAGAAATGCAGGTACAGAATGTGGATGATAGTTCCTGGTTCTCCAGTGCATGATCCACTTATGGTTTACAGACATAATCTCAAATAACATGATTTGTAAACCTCTAACAATATATCCATGCACCTCCTGGATTTTGCTTCCCCCAGTTTGAGAAACATGAAATCTGCGTAATAGCAGTGAGACATAAGAAATCAAAAGCAAAGCACAACTTCAAACTCAACAGTAAGAAAATAAACAACCCAGTTTTAAAAAAGGCAAAAGATCTGAACAAACACCTCACCCAAGAAGATATACAGATGGCAAATAGGCATATGAAAAGATGCTCCACATCCTATGTCATTAGGGAATTGCAATCAACAATGAGATTCCACTCCATACCTTTGAGGATGGTCAAAGTCCAAAGCACTGACAATACCAACTGCTGGTGAGAATATGGAGCAATAGGAACTCTCATTCACCCCTGCTGGGAATGCAAAATGGTACTACTACTCTTAAAGGCAGTTTTGCATTGTCTTACAAAACTAAACATACTTTTTCCATTCAGTCCAGACATCATACTCCCTGGTATTTAACCAAAGGAGTAGAAAACTTACATCCACACAAAAACCTGCCTATGGATGTGTATGGCAGCTTTACCCATAATTGCTACAACACTTGGAAGCAAACAAGATGTCTTTCAGTAGGGGATAGATAAGTAAATTGTACATCCAGATGATGGACTATCATTCAGTGATAAAAAGAAATGAGCTATCAAAGCTATGAAAAGACATGGAGAAAACTTAAGTGCATACTTCTAATTGAAAGAAGTCAATCTGAAAAGGCTACACACTGTATGGGTCCAACTACATGACATCCTGGAAAAGGCAAAACTATGGAGGCAGTAAAAAGATCAGTGGTCTCCAAGGACTTGGGGGAAGGAGGGATGAAGAGGCAAAGCACAAAGAGTCCTCAGGGCAGTGAAACTATTGTATTTGATACTGTAATGCTGCATTACATTGTTGCAATGGGTCCAAACTCACAAAATGTACAACATAAAGAATGAACTCTAGGGGCGCCTGGGTGGCTCAGTCCTTAGCATGACCCACTCTTGGTTTCCGCTTGGGTAACGATCTCATGGGTGGTGGGACTGACTTGTTTTGGCTCCATGCTCGGCAGGGAGTCTACTTGAAGTTCTCTCCCTCTCTGTCTCTCAAATAAATACATGAATAAATATTAAAAAAAAAGAATGAACTCTAGCATAAACTGTGGACTTTAGTTAATAATGGTGTTAACATTAATAATAATTAGTAACTAGAAATAATAATTAGTTAATAATAATCACTATGGGGGACAAGAGGAGAGGGTGTATGGGAACTCTCTAGTTTCTGCCCAACTTTTTTGTAAATCTAAAAATGGTATTAATTAAAAAAAATACAAAGCATGCTAATTTTGCAGAGATTAGAAAGGAATCAAGGGCTGCTTCTGAGTCTTGTCTAGAAACACCATTTTATTCTCACTTTATTCTTAACGAGAGTTAAGGACAAGACCAGGTAAATGTTATGTAAAGGGGAGTCATTCAGCAATCGTGTCAGACACTAAAAAACAGCCTCTTCATACACCTTCCCCCAAATCTTAATTAGATGAAGAGAATGCTGGCCATCTCTGTCTTTACTGAATATTTTACCCAAACTAATTCACAGACACCACAGCATTGCTGAGTCTCGTTGACAAATTTATTATGTAGCTCTATGTCTGAGGACTTAATAGAAGGGATGCTGCCTCTCTTCCCAATGTGCCTTTGCGCTTAAGTAGAACTGAGGAAATCAAACCTTATACCTTTGCCTTTAAAACACAAAGTGACCAATTCAGTAATTAGGAAACTTCTGTCACCCAGACTTCTTTCCTCTTTTCTCTTCCTATTCATGTTATCTCCCCAATCCCAGCCAACACACACACACACACACGATTTCTGAGCCCAGCTCACTACAATATCCACTTTTTGACACATTCTACAAATTAAAACCTGGTTTCAACTGGAGACTAACCCTGGAATAGCAAAATCAAGGTCTTAACTTCGAAAGGCAATTTCTATATAACATGTGATGTTAAGAAGAGACCAGGTACATCAAAGATTTGGAAAGAAAAAAGGATTTAAAATAGAAAGCCCACTAGCTTCCAGTCCCCAGTTGTGCCATCAACCTCCATAAACATTTCCCCCAGTGAAGAAGTTAATGCTTAGTGCATGCATTGAATCAAAGGATGATTTTTAACTTCTGCACAGATATGTGCAAAGAATGAGATATATAGAAAGAGACATAAGAAATCAAAAAGCAAATCATGCTGATTTCACAGAAAACTTAAAGGAAGATGTGAGATTCTCCTAAACTCTTTAAAACGTTACCAACAAGATAGAAATCCTACAATGTTTCATTTATAATGAAAAGGACTTTACTTTACAATAAAAGGTTTGTTGGTAAAAGCTGAAAGAACATTAGCTTTATTTCTTTCAAGTAATGTTGATTACCGTCCTCAAGATCCAATTTTGTTCTTTGAAATAAACTTATTATCTATATGCTACCTGTTTGGACTGCTTGATATGAAAGGTAGAAAACATTGATCATCACAATTCACTAATTATTTATACATAATTTTAATTAATGGGTTCAGTCACTTACCCTCCCAACCACCTAACAAGTAACAGAGATAAATCTGCTTCCTCTTCCTTTGGGGTGATAATATCACAACCCAAGTGTACAGGAATTGCCAAAAGGTTAAACACACAGGAAATAGGTCACAGGAAGAGAAAAGGCATATAAATAAAGTACAAGAAATCCACAAGCTCTGTGTCATTGAGTTAGTGGAAACATAAATGGTATTACCTGGCCTTGGAATCAGAAAACACTGATTGAAATTTGGATGCTGCTCTTTATTGGCTGGGTAACACTGGCCAAGTCTCTCAACTTCACTGAAAACTTGGCTTTCTCTGAATCTATTAAATGAGAATGTTATCTTTTTTCAGAGGGTTGTTGTGAGAAATAATTATAAGACAAATAAAATGTGTGGACTTGACATATGGTAAATACTTGATAACTGTTGTTTAATGATAACACTAATTGCCAACTAATTGCCTACACTTTCATATTACAATTTTTTAAATTTGTTGTTTATTTGCTTATTTGTTAAGCTTTTGTTACCCCCTTCCCACACAAAAATTAAAACTCACCTACTTTAATATCTGCTGAGGTGAACCCCAATGGGTTAGTTAAAGATGG